ATCTTACCTTTCCAGCCATATAAAGTAGACCTAAATATGAGATCTATAGCTACAGATATGACCCAATTACCGAACAGTATTCCGGTTTGGATTGCACCGACATCTCTTTTCTAATTTTGGTCAACTTTTTGCCCTTGCAATTTAAGTTCTTAAAGTCATCAATCAATCCTTTCATTTATGTGATAAGCCTCCATTTAAAATGAACATTTACCATAAATTAAAGGTATCTTATATTATTAGATATATTATTATAAAATATGCTTTAATTAAGGAGTTATTGATACTTCAAGTGTAAAATGATGATATAAATGCACTTTTAAGTATTAATCACTTTTCCAGTCTAGGACTACTATACACTGCCAAAAATAACGCACTGCGTTTGTTCTAGAGCCATTTCCAAACGTGAACATCTTTCATGTAACTTCGCTACTGTGTGTTGTCATTATCATCTTGAAACACTTTCATCATCAAGGTTCATCACCACCATGGTGGTTTTGTTGATGGAGAACCATGTCAAATAACCATCTTACTTAAAAATTTATGTTGTTAGGTGAGAGTTTTCAGGATATGATTTATATTATTATCTAATACACTCCCTCAAGTAAAAGCCTTTAGACTTAAAACTTGCATAGACCCACATTACCTTGTGCTTAATTTTTTTATTAAATAAATGGGGATCTTAATTTTTTTATTAAACCTCAGTTAAAGCATCAACTAAACCAGATCACTTTTCCAGTTGAGGACTACTATACACTGCCAAAAATAAAGCACTGCCTTTGTTCCAGAGCCATTGCCAAACATGAACATCTTTCATGTCACTTTGCTACTGTGGGTTGCCATTATCATCTTGAAACACTTTCACCATCAAGGTTCATCACCACCATGGTGGTTTTGTCGATGTAGACCCCAACAACTACATCCTTATCACACGTTAATTAATAACTATCATGTATCCCATGGAAAAAATATAGTTTAAAAACCTGACCGGTCCTCGACGTTCCATCCGTGACCTGATGTTAATTGATACAGTCATGAAATAAAAAGAATGGAAAAAAATCAGTTTTGTTTGTAGGTTTGGGCAACAACTCGCTAGAAGTCATGAGAAATTGAAATTGAACAGTAAAAGCTATCACATGTTTCATTGTTTTTAATTAAGAGCACAATTAGCTTCTTCTTTTTTCTTTTTCCTTTTTTAATTTTAATTTAATTTAATATAACTATATATCCATCCTCTGCTGTCAAGCAACAACGTTATCTAAAATTTATAGCTGAGGTAAGAAGGTAACCAGAAGAGTCTAAACCAAAAGAGTAACAGGAAAAGCAACTTGGGAACCCTTAATTAAAATGCTTTTATTTTCTGCTTTTACTTTTGGGCTGACCCCATTTGCCAGGAAGCTTTCTTCTTTATTAAAAAAATAAAGAAATAGAAGAGGAATAACGTCACGCTCCAAGCTTGCTCATCTCCAGTCATTCTTTTGGTTACCTCAGCTATAAATTTTAGATGACGTTGTTGCTTGACAGGACAGGAAGGGATTTGTTCTCATGAGAATCACAAACTGAAAGCCTTATATTGCATTTCTCTTTTTAATTTTTAATGATGATTCTTATATACAGAGTAGTTAAAAAGTATCTTAACGTTTTAGAGTGTGCCCAGAGCAAAGTGTTTTATTCTTTCCTGAGAATAACCTTTGATTTCACGATAATAATTAAAGTGCAGTGACCAATTACCATTCAAGTTGGTAGCGCAACAATAAATTAGCTTGTGCAGAGAGCGAGCGGTTTGTGGCACGAGGGACTAGATACACAAAATATTTTGATGTATCTAAGAGATAGTGTGGAATTTGATAAAAATAAATGAATAAATAAATATAATCGTTTGATTACTGGATATGGATCCCGGATTAATTCCCCCAAACCCTGAATATTTTAAAAAGATAATCATAAATTACCGTTAATGTGCTTTATTCCATGCTAAAAATCAAGAGAGAAAGAGAAGAAGAAAGAACGCACAAGGATCATTATGCAGATCCTAGAACCCTAAATAAAATCATATATAACCAATGGCTCATCATGATTTCTTAAAACTTATTTCTTCTTATCTTGTGTCTACGGTAAACACTTGTGTTCTAGAATTCAGAGCTAAGCACAGGGTCCAAACACGTTTCTGTTTTGCAATTCAGGAGGAAGGCAAGCAACGCAGTTTGTTTTGTCTGATGTTATAAATTCGTCAGCAAAACCCCAATGAGGCAATGAGCTGTGTGAGAACTGAAACAGAAAAACTCTTCCAAATGGAGCTGCTCTGCAACAACAATCTACGAAATGACTTGCTGTCTGCACAGATTTGGATACAGGGAGATAAGCCACAATCACTTTGCAATCTGTTCATGTGTCCTTTCCCATACCTCATGCTAGTAAACAACACCCGCTCGCAATTTTATTGATGGCATGCGATGGGATTTCTCTGTCTATGTAGGCAACAGGAACGCCTCGGACTTTCAAGGCACAAGAGTACAAGTTAAGAATAATTTCTGGACCCATTACACTTCCATCGAGACCAACACCGCAACTAAAAGCAAATCCCAATGTTAAATATGTCGAACATTTAACATTAACCCAGTAAATGAAAGTGCTTTTCTTCTAATTTCACACCATCCTTTAGTCATTTGTAATTCATAACCATTCCAAGAGCACTCTCAGCCTGTCTGCCTTATTTCTTCCCGTTTGAAGTGGGCATAAGCCTGCTCCACTGTAAGGAATGGTTTTAGCTGAAGTACATTGCTCCTGGTCTTATCTAGTCGGTCATCCAATCTATTAAAAAAGTTATACACTCGATCTTCTTGCAAGATTAAATTATATTTTTTAATATCCACAGCACAATCCATTGGTTTAGGACACCAAAAATCTATTTCTCACCACAAGCTTTGAAGTTTATTATAGTATTTTTCAATGGATCCGCCAGCTTGTTTCATCAGAGTCACACGATGACGGAGGTCATAAACTTGAGATGTATTTGTCCCATCAAAATATGTTGTAGCAATAGAATCCCATACTTGTTTTATAGTTGGAAAGCGAATAAAATTAGCAATTAAGGAAGGGTCCATTGAATTAATCAATCATCTTTTGACGATGACATTTTTAGTTTGCCATCTTCTGAATGTTAGGTCGGTTTTTGGAGGCCGAGGAAGGTCTCCATTAATATATCCCAACTTGTCTTTGCCAAAAATATACATCTCTACAACTTGGGACCATAAGGCAAAATTTGAGTCATTCAATTTGATGCCAATTGCAGTAGTCGAAGGTGGTAGGTGTTGAGAGTTCTGTGATCTAGAAAGAACTTCTATCATCTTGGTCATCAGGTTAGTAAGGATTGATTCGATCTGGGGGTTGAGGTGTTCCATCAATTTTGTTGATTTTGCCATGGAATCTAGACTGTTTGAGTGGTTTTTCTGGTCTTAAGATGGGTTGAACAAAGGTCCTAAGAACCCATCATTCTAATACCATGTTAACTTTAGAAGTTTAGAAGTCTATTCTTTTTATTCTTTTCTCTATTCTGCTTAATCTACATAATAGAATATCTTCAGCTTTTCTACGAAGAAAGATTTTAGTTTTTCTATTCAAAACAATCTTTATTACGAAAATAAAGGTTTCCCTTAATATATGAGATTTCCTTTACGTAACAGAGTTCTATTCTTTCTCTAATTTCTCTACTTTGACAGCTCACGCCAGCAAGTACTGTATTATATGATTGTCGTTCCATATGACTAAGAAGATTCTTGAAAGAATTGTGAATGCCAAAAAAAAAACTTACTAAAATTTATACAGACAATTCACTAGGCATTGCATTAGCAAGGAATTCAATATTTCCTGATAGAAGTGAGCATGTTGACATCAAATTTCATTATCTAAAAAATTACATGCAAGTAAGAAAGTTAAAAGTAAAGTATTTGAAGACTCAAGATCAAGTCATCAATATTTTTACAAAGCTAATAATACCTCTCCCTCATTGACAATAATATTAAAGAGGTCTAATTCTTGGAAAACACAGAAACCTCGTGGCTAAACAATCATGCAAACTAAATTATCAATACCCTCAGTTAAAGCATCAACTAAACCAGATCACTTTTCCAGTTGAGGACTACTATACACTGCCAAAAATAAAGCACTGCCTTTGTTCCAGAGCCATTGCCAAACATGAACATCTTTCATGTCACTTTGCTACTGTGGGTTGCCATTATCATCTTGAAACACTTTCACCATCAAGGTTCATCACCACCATGGTGGTTTTGTCGATGTAGACCCCAACAACTACATCCTTATCACACGTTAATTAATAACTATCATGTATCCCATGGAAAAAATATAGTTTAAAAACCTGACCGGTCCTCGACGTTCCATCCGTGACCTGATGTTAATTGATACAGTCATGAAATAAAAAGAATGGAAAAAAATCAGTTTTGTTTGTAGGTTTGGGCAACAACTCGCTAGAAGTCATGAGAAATTGAAATTGAACAGTAAAAGCTATCACATGTTTCATTGTTTTTAATTAAGAGCACAATTAGCTTCTTCTTTTTTCTTTTTCCTTTTTTAATTTTAATTTAATTTAATATAACTATATATCCATCCTCTGCTGTCAAGCAACAACGTTATCTAAAATTTATAGCTGAGGTAAGAAGGTAACCAGAAGAGTCTAAACCAAAAGAGTAACAGGAAAAGCAACTTGGGAACCCTTAATTAAAATGCTTTTATTTTCTGCTTTTACTTTTGGGCTGACCCCATTTGCCAGGAAGCTTTCTTCTTTATTAAAAAAATAAAGAAATAGAAGAGGAATAACGTCACGCTCCAAGCTTGCTCATCTCCAGTCATTCTTTTGGTTACCTCAGCTATAAATTTTAGATGACGTTGTTGCTTGACAGGACAGGAAGGGATTTGTTCTCATGAGAATCACAAACTGAAAGCCTTATATTCCATTTCTCTTTTTAATTTTTAATGATGATTCTTATATACAGAGTAGTTAAAAAGTATCTTAACGTTTTAGATTGTGCACAGAGCAAAGTGTTTTATTCTTTCCTGAGAATAACCTTTGATTTCACGATAATAATTAAAGTGCAGTGACCAATTACCATTCAAGTTGGTAGCGCAACAATAAATTAGCTTGTGCAGAGAGCGAGCGCTTTGTGGCACGAGGGACTAGATACACAAAATCCCACCTGAACTGCTCTTTGCATTCAGATACATTTTGGCTGTAAATTAAGGTATGTGTTGCATGCGTCTCCCTTTCGTTTCTTCATTTCTCTCCAAGGAACTTAAATTTGAAAGTTGTTTTCTTTCTTATGCAGTATTATATTTGAAAGTCCATTGATGGTAGAAATTAATTGGTCCTGCATGTGCTAGGGAATGTAATATAAAATTATTCTTAAGCGTCATCCACCTAATTTATGAAATAATTCCTGTAAGGTCCCATGAATTGTTTTACATATAATACTTTAAACTAAAGCATGATTTCGATTATGCAGAACAATTCTTAGTCCTTTCTCTCTCAATATATTATCAAGAACAATTCTTAGACATTTCTCACTCAAATCAATTCTCAGTCCTTTCTCTCTCTCTATATATATATATATATATATCGATTGTGCACGTGATTATTAGCTGGTATTTTGTTTAATTGATTAGTGAATCTTTAAGTAAAGTTCATTTCTGGTGTATGATGAAGGGGAGCAAACATGGATGTGTATAGTTTACCTGGACGTGTTGTCGCATTGTGGAACGACTGGCAGCTTCGCTCAATGATTTTGCTAAGTCTCTGGCTGCAAATTTTCCTCACCATCACTGGCAGTCGACGAAAGTATACAGCCGGAATCTGGCTTGGGACGCTGGTTTGGCTAGCATATACGTCAGCTGACCCGTTGGCAACTCTTTCATTAGGTACAATTACTCGTAATCAAGGGGGATCGAATTGTACCACTAAAAATGAAAGCATCACCCCGGCATTTTGGGCATCGATGCTCCTTGTCCACCTTGGTGGTCCTTACACCTTTACTGCCTATGCAGTAGAGGACAACGAACTGTGGTCGAGGCATGTGCTTCAGCTATTAACGCAACTTTCGATGTCCTTTTATGCATCATTGAGGTCATGGTGGAGCATGGATCCGCTCAGATATTTAGCCATTCCTATCTTTATTGCTGGAATCATGAAATATGGGGAGAGGGTTTTGGTTCTTTGGTTAGCAAGCTCCAACAAGTTTAGAGACTCCGCTAACGAAGAAAGGAAGCTTCTACGAGATCAATTAGATAACAAAATTCCACGCGATGACTTCGATAACATGGATGCAACAAGGTGCGATAAAGTTTTGGGATTTGATCGCATAAGACCGGAGGCAAAATATCTCCATGAAGCTCATTTCTTATTCCGAACTTTGAAGTTACTATATGGAGATTACCTAGTTACATATCCAACTCATATGAGCAGCTATATTATTTTGAAGGGGAAGTGTGCTGCCAAAGCATTCGAGTTGATAGGAGTGGAGTTGGGTTTCATGTTTGATGTCCTTTTCACCAAGGCGATGACTGGGGTTGGCTGGCGGCCTCGCCTCTTTCTCCGCTCCATCAACTTTCTACTCTCTGTCTCTGCACTACTTGCATTCTGGATAATGGCCAGAAACTCCAAAGCCTATTCTGAAATTGATATCACTATATCATACTTGTTGCTAGGAGGAGCTATTGTTCTTGATATTTTCTCAGTCATTTGGATGCTTCTCTCTGATTGGACTATGTTTTGGCTTAGCAAGAAAAGGGAGCCATTGGCGGAGTCTATTTGTCAATTTATTTATTCTTCTCGGTGGCTGTCGTCTCTCATTCATAAAAAAAGGTGGAAAGAATCTATGAACCAACATGCCATACATAAGCATGTTGAGCAAAGTGTACCAATGGGAAATCTTATCAGCAAGGGTCACAACTTTCGGAGATGGAAAGAGGATGTGGATTGTTATTTAAAGGAACTGATCTTCAAACGTCTCTTAAATATGCGTTCAAGATACAGTCGCCAAGATGATCAAAGGATGATATTGACAGAGAGAGGTGATCATGCACTCAGAAATAACGGATGCTCTCAAAAATTTGGTTGGTCTGTGGTTGATATAGACTTTCATGAAAGCTTCCTATTATGGCACATTGCCACTTGGTTTTGTCACGTAGGCCATACTGAATCTCCTCTTGTTAAAGTAAGCAGATCTTTAGCTAGTTACATGTTGTATCTTCGGAGTGATATGCCGTTTATGCTACCTAAAGAGATGGGTGAAGCAAAGTACATGTCAACCAGCGTAGAAGCCACTTTTCAAGTTGAAGAGGGAAAAACCGAAGGGTCAGTGCTATCTGATGGTCGCAACCTCGCCAGTGCATTGGACTTGCTGGAGACAGAGGATGGTTGGTCAGATGAAAAAAAATGGGAAATGATATCTCAAGTGTGGGTGGAGATGCTAACTTTTGCTGCGATTCATTGTGGATGGAAAGAGCATGCAAAAGCACTGAGTCAAGGAGGAGAGCTACTTACTTTTGTGGCCGTTCTTATGTCTCATCTTGGCGTAAATGAGCAGTGTATCTACAAGTAATTAATTACTTGGTACTTTTCATATGTTATTATTCCTTCGTCTTTTATTTCATTTGTTTACTTTGATAATAAGATTTTTACTTGTTTGTGATTGATACGTTATTAAATGTACAAAGGATTGAATTCTCGGTTTCTTAAATTATCATGTTTATATATTATTTATATGACAACACGTAAGTGAAAGAGTTTAAAATACTTTTGCAAATGCTTGAGAGACTGTGTTCTGTCAGCTATATATATCAAAGTTGTTACAGGATATTCATTGTTAATTAAAGTGTTTTGATACAGAAAAAAAAAAACTAAAAATAAGCAGGAATCAGAGTTATAATATAATTGCACTAGAATTCAATATCTTTTATATCTTTTAGCAGCCTTGCATGCTGATGTTTATTTTTATCATACTGAGATTTATCTTTATTATTAATATTGGGAAAATTAAAAATAACTGAATATCAATTTACTTGGATTAATTTAACAAAATATAATTCACAATTCATAAGTCTCAATTCTTTCCTCTTTATACTGTAAAACAAAATCAAACAATAACCAAATATAATGCAAATAATCATAAAATCGATACTAAGATTTTTAATATAGAAAACCCGATGCAGGAAAAACCACGGGATTATAGTCTATCTAAAAACTTCCACTATCAATAAATAATGAGTTCATAATTGTTCATCCTCATATTCAACTAAGGAATACAACATATATATCATCAAGAACAACTTATTCTCAGATTACAACAAGATTAAAGGAGAATTATTTGAGAAAAACTCACAATACTGACAGCCCTGTTTTCTGTCAAAACGGCCAGCTTTCACACCACCAATCTTCGATCCAATCGTCCAGAATGAAAATTAACGTGTCTAAAAGTTTTTGTCAAAATCTCAGCTCGATCCAACGGTGAACGAGCTGGAAATCGAAGAAAGAACACATGTTGCTTTGCTACCTCTTCTTCTCTTTTTCTCTCTCAGTTTTCTTCTCCTCTCTTCTATTTTTGAATTCTACCGCTACAGTACCCGAACCATTTATTTTTTAAAAAGGGTCAGCTACCTCTCTTCTCAATAAATATGGTGGTCCCATCATCACATGATGCGGGACCACACACAATAATTAACATGAGCTTTTATCCTTATCAGTTAGTTCAAAGATATCCTTTCTCTTAAGATGAAATCCATGTTCATATATTATTTATATGATAACACTTTAGTTCAAAGATATCCTTTCTCTTTAGACAAATTGAAAAAATAGAAGAAAATCGTTAAAATCATCAATAAGCTCGAAGTTTTCCTAAACATTCTCATGAACTTTTATTTATTGTAGCATTAGATGGAGCTTTTCTCCTTGATTTAGGGTTAAGAGATAAAGGGATAAAGTTTTACAAGCTTGTTGATTTCCTGTACACATTTTACATGAATTATTTTCTTGAGAGGATAGGAAGTGATTTGTGCTCATGATAAAGATTTAGTTTGTGATAATCGAAAGCAATTTATTCCAATGGCCCTTTTATTTTGTAGTAATGATTGTGATGAAAGCAGCTGTATGTAATATCCTTTCATATTAATGATAAGAAGTAAAGTATTTGTACAAATTCATATTCTTGTAGCATTTTTAATATACATGATGTAGATTTTTATGGAACCAGAACTAAAAAAATACACAAAATCAACTTGGTTACACAACCAGTAAATTAGCCCTTGGAACACCTCTTTCCATAATCTTCAAGTACGTTTTGGCTGCAAAGGTATGAGTTGCATGTGTTAGCTGATCATTGCTGTTAAGATTATTGCCATTAATGTGCAGTAATCATTTGCAGCCTACCCTAAGAAGTAGGGTTATTATTGTCAAAAAGCTACAATGATAGTTGCACCACCATTAACAAAAATAGTGCAACCCATGTGCTGCCACCATTAGTACTACAAATCATGCCATGATTTATGGATCTTATCTTACCATTGATACCTATAAATAGAGGTATTGTTTGAGAGTAAAATGAGAGAGAGAGAGTGATGAGTGTGTGTAAGATAATAAGAGAGAAAGAGGGGCTGCCAAGGGCAGCAACCTTGCTGCCATTACAGTAGTGAGCTGGGAGTTGAGTGTGAGTGGGTGTAATCCTCATCCTTTATATATTTGTTTTGTGTTCTTTCTCTATCTCTAATAATATTGACTCTCTAGCAGATGTAGGAGGTTTGCTAAACCATGTTAAATATTGTGTCAGTATGCTTAGCCTCCTATGAGTAAATATCAGCACATCATCTGTCCGAATTCCCCAATAATTGGTATCATAGCATATGGTTTAAAGTGGCGTTTAATTTTTCTAAAAAATAAGAGTTGTTAAAATTATGTTTTGACCATACCACTATGTAGAGGAGGAAAAGACGAAGCCACTGTTGAAAACTGTGTCGAAATTGAACGTTGGACATGGCTGCACGTGCCGACAGGGTGGCGAGCCACACGTTGCACTCATCTTCTTCACCTGGATGGACTGACCGACCTGAATACTAGATGAACCAACCTTCGTGTCTGATCCAAATGTTGATGACATATCATGATGTCATATCATGATGTCATCATGCATAGATGGCATGCCATATCATCAATCAGTCAGCACTATGGGACTCACCTGCCACGTTATCAACCGCGAGCCGAGGGTAAGGATTTAGTGTAGCTGATCCTACATGCAACTGGATCTGAGATTGAATTTGAGTTGTTTATTAGGCCAGAATTGTTTTGATCAAATTTTAGCCATCTGAAATGCGTTTTAAGCGATTTTAGACTTGTTTCTAGCTAATTTAATTGTTTTGGATGCTATAGTACGGTCTAATAATTAAGATTAAGACCAGAAATGGTGGTGGTATTGCTTGATTAGGAGGTATCTAGTGGTCATCATGATTGTTGATAGAGATGAAGAAGAAGTAATCACACATGTTTGCCTAGTTACATGTGCTAAACTGCTAAGTGAGGAATTTTAATTACCTTGAAGGAAGATAAAATTGGAACACTCTGGATGCCCGATCATGTGGACAATTTGAGATGGAGAGTGGAAATTGATGAAGACCAATCTTGATAAATCTAAGCACTAGTAGTCTCGCCAGCTGTTGAGAAATCAGGTATGAAACCAAAATATTCCAGATCATTTGCAAAGGAAAGCCGTAACAAAGCTAGCAAATGGTTGTATATACAAAAAGATAGTACGATGGATGGATATGGCCTAAAAAGTTCTAGCTAAGAGATTGGGTTTTAAGTGGGACCATTGTAACCTCTCCAATTTTTCCTAGGAACTTACTTGGTGGAAGGATTATCGTTATGATACTATTTTTGTATATGTGATAGTTTGTTATGAAACTGTTGAAGACAAGCAGGATGATGGCACAAAGGAACAATTAGGTTTCGTATGATTAAGGATCTGATGGAGTGGTGATTTCTTCAAAGAAGTTAGATTCAATAACTGTAATTTATCAAAGGGAAAATTGATAAAGACCTTGATAATGGAAGAGAAATACAGCAAAGGGATAAAGATTGATATCCTATTTTGACTTGGATAGGTGTTGTGACTGGATGAGTTGTTGTCAAACATAAGCAAGAAATAGGGAGAATCTAGAGAATAGAAATTTGACAAGGGCATTTGGAGATTGTGCAGGAGTACCTGAAGGATCTAACGAGGTATTGTAATGAGATAACAGGTGCAAGGAGAAGAAGAGTTCCCACATGAAGTTTGGAGTAGAGATTGTTAGAGTTTGTACAACAAGAAGTCTCTTGTGCTCTTAATGAAAAAAACAAGCGAGGACCTTTCCAATGCATGCAACGATGAAAAGATGAGCTACTGAAGATACACCTAATTGAGGGGGTGTAACTACCAATGATGAAAGGCAAAGACACCGAAAGAGAGTTGGTATAGGTGGAGTTGTTAAGTAGAAAGGCGTAGAAGCTCCAAATATAGAAATTGAGATGGACCATTGCGAGGAGTGTACAAATCTTTCTTTTTATGTGATCAATGGTAGTGATCTCTTCCATGGTCTATATGGTGGTAGAGAATTTTTAGAGCCACTTTGAAGCATCCCAACTAAAGGAGGGTGCGATCGCCTATGAAAGGCGAAGACACTTTAAAGAGAAGGTGTGAGGGCTATGAGATGAACTTAAGTTCAGATCGCCATATGATGATGAGCGGACACACCTTAGGAGAAGGTGTGAGGGCCATGATAGGAGCTTCAATTACAAAACGTCGTAGAGTTGATATGATGGCTAGATATGAGTGGATAGATGGATAGTCAATGAAGTGGCTATGATAAGTATAGAGACAAATGCAGGATTGACTTTTATAGATATTTCCCCCATGCTAAAGATCAATGAGCTAGAAGACATTTGTCTTGGATAATAAATGGATGACTTGTGGAGCATTAAGACGCGACTGCTATATAGGAGTAGAGGGCATGCACAGGTTCCTAGAACAAGTTGACTCTTGTCAAGGTGGTGAGCTCGGTAATGACATTGTAATACTCAAAGTATGAAGACAAATATGGATTAACCTTTAATAAGTCGTCCCCATGTTTAAAGATGGAAAGCTACCTAGACTCTTGAGACTAAGAGCGAGAGACTCACGGAGAAGTAAGGCGTGGTTCCTAGGGTGGAATAGAGAGTAGACACAACTCTTAGATGAATAGACTTTTGGAAGAGTGGTGAGCTTGTGATCATATTCAAATAATTAGATAATGACTGTCACACTTGGAAATATAAATTTCCATTTGAGGGGCTGTTGTAAGCCTTGATAAATCATTCCAGACCGAGCATGGTTAATACGCTCAAAGAAGAATGTTGTGTCCCAAAGACAAGCATTAACACTCTTTAGATATGATGTGGGAGACCATCTGCTTGAAGTGATCCTTTGGTGTGAGCAAGGGTGTGCTGTGGTAACTCTGGTGATTGAAAGGTTTGGCGAGTACCTATAAACTTGGCCACAAATGCTCTCAGAATGGTAGGTTTAGAAGAGCTACAGGATGTAAGCTTGTGCTGAAGAAGCAAGAGGACAACTGCCCATATAAATGTCAAAGGAGTGATTATTGGGATTTTCCATTAATGGATAATAAATTGTGCAACTTACCCTAAGAGTAGGGTTACCATTGTCAAAAGGCTACAATG